TAACCTTGCCCCCGAGCCCCACTTCCGGGAGGCGAGGGGCACGGTGGGAGCGGGGCGGCAGGCGCGCGCGGGGCACCGCGAGAGTTGTAGTCCCTGGCGTCTGTGGGTGCCGCGCATGCGTGGGCTGGGCCGATGCTCCGGGAGGCTGCGGAGGCAGCTGGACCGGCTGCGGCGGTGCCCGTTTTTTTTTTTTTGCTACAAAGGACAGAAGCAACTCAGTATCGCAACTGGCTGCAGGAGTCTCCAGACGCCGGGCGGCCTCCGGGAAGGTTCCCTCCAGACACACCTCCGCTGACTGGGGCCGTCGGAATGATCCCCCGGGACTGCAGGGCCGGGGTGGGGACGTGGGCCAGCGCCCGCACCGGCAAGTTAGACTCCTGAGCCCTGTGACCCGGGTCGGAAGTTGGAACGGGTTCAGCCTCCTCGCGTGTGGTCACCCCGAGAGCGTGCTGTCACCTATGCACCTGCCCCTTGTGCCCCGCCCCTGCCTCCACCTCCCGGGTCCGATGCCTCTTGCCTGGGCACAACCTTAGTGCCGCCTCGGCTCACCCCCACTCCAGCCCAGCCTCCACGCTGGCCACCCCAGTTTCCTGACACTGCCCTGATCGTGTCACCCACCCATTCCCCCGCTAGAGCCTTCAGTGCTGCCTCCAGCACAAGTTCCTGGCCTCCTCAACGTTCCCAGGATGTGGTGGGCAGAGGTCATGGAATGACTTTTTAGACTCAGCATTAGACAGGCTGTGAGCCAAGAAGACAGAGGCCCTGTCTGCTGGATTCCACCTGTAACCCCAGTACCCGGCACAGAGAAGGCAAACACCGACCTGTTCCAACTGCATGTTTCCCCAAAGCATCAAGTCTCTCTTTGCAGGTCTAGCTCCTAATGCATTGTGAGCACTCCATGAATATTTGATGACGTTGAAATATGATGCAGGAGAGACTAATGCGCAGACATCCGGCGAAGTCACTGTTTATGCAACTTCAGAGGCCTTAACCCACCTCAGGAAGGGTTACGGAATGGTTCTTCTGATGGGGGGGAGAGGGTACAAGGGAACTTGGGCCTCCTGAGCCTTGTGGACCTGGACAGAGGGAAGCTGAGGAAGGAACGGCTGGATGGGCGTGAGAAAGCCACCCCCTACCTGAGAGGAACTTACACAGAAGCTCAAAACAGGGAGGGCCATTCACACATTCACCACCACGGGGGAGGCAAGTTTAGGCACTTGGCTCTGGGTTTAGAGTTGGGTTCAAACCTTGCTTCTGCTGAGTGACCTCGGGCAGTGATGTGGTCATGGTGTTTCCTTACTTCCCAAGTGTTATGACTTCATGAAATTAACATGTGTGAGTGGAGCTTGAGGAATCTGATGGTGGGCAAAGGTTCAACAACAGACCACAAGAGAAACTAAAGTAGAGAAGTTTATTACTCACAGGTCTTGGAGGAGGTACACAGCATGCCTCAAGGGGCCACACAGGAGGTCAAGGCAGAGTGCAGACAGAGAGGCAGGCCCTGGGGCATATTCCTTTATCAGGGTCTGTGGGTGGAGTGCTTTGGGGGTTCCCAGGCTAGGGCTGGATTGGTTAATTCAAGCTGAAAGAGTGGGGTTTTGGTAAGTTGCACGGGGGTCTTATCTCAGGGGCGCATAAGGCACACAGGCAGGGGAGACTGTTGAGCACAGGAGCATACGTTGGCTGGTGACTCCACAGGCTGCTGTCTAGGGCATGCAAGTGTATGAAGGGACGTACTGTCAGTGTGAGGCTCCTGCAGGCCGCTTAGCCAAACAAACTGGATGCCAGGGCAGCAATACCATGGAATAGCTTAGCTAAACTCTCAACAGGGAAATAACCACGGTGAGGCTTCCATGACAGAAGGCACACAAAGGGCCTGGTGTAAGGCCTGGCCCAGAGCGGGTGCTGGGCACCTGTTACGTGTTTTCTTCATTTGTGTATTTGTGTATTTGGCATCCATGCCTCACGGGGCCAATTATATTAACAGTATTTTCTTATTTTCTGTATTCTTTTTTAATGCTGACACTTTTTTCTGGGGGTGGGCCGTGCCACGCGGCTTACGGGATCTCAGTTCCCCGACCGGGGAATGAACCCGGGCCCTCAGCAGTGAAAGCGCGGAGTCCTAACCACTGGACCACCAGGGAATTCCCGTTATTTTTTTGTACTCTTTTTTGTGTGTGTGGGGGGGGTGCGGTACGCGGGCCTCCCACTGTTGTGGCCTCTCCCGTTGCGGAGCACAGGCTCCGGATGCGCAGGCTCAGCGGCCATGGCTCACGGGCCCAGCCGCTCCATGGCATGTGGGATCTTCCTGGACCGGGGCAAGAACCCATGTTCCCTGCATCAGCAGGCGGACTCTCAACCACTGCGCCACCAGGGAAACCCTATTTTTTGTATTCTTGATGCTGTGGCATCTGGGGGCTTCCCCGCAAGGCCTGCCACTTCTTAGGGATAGCAAAGGGAGCCCATCTTTCCCATGCGCACCAGCCAATGCCCAACCCCCTCTCATCTAACCCTACACGCTCCCACCAGGCCCCAGGCCCAGACACTCTCCTAGATCCTCCACTCCACCCTGTGCCTGGCTGACTCTTCCCACCATCCCTTCCCCGAGGATGCTCCAGCCACTCCCCAGCTGGACCAGGCTAGCCCCTGTCAGTGTTCTCTGCAGCCCCGGAAAGCATGGAACAGAGCTGCAATTATGTAGCAGATTCTGCAATCATGGGCTTGATGTTTGTCCCTAGAGCTGAGCCCTATGAGGGCAGGGCGGTGGCTGGCTTGCGCTGCCGACTCTCTCTGCCACGCACAGGACGCACCTGTTGTTGCTGAATGAGCAATGGGGTTGAGACTCATAGGTTTGGCTTTCTCAGAACCAGGTGAGGCAGAACGCTGGGATTCTCTGCTCCCATCTGTACCATCCCCCCACCAGGTCAAGTTCACAGGAGCACAGGAAACACAGCTTTCCAACATGGCCCCCCTCCCCCAATCCCCTTAGCCAGCCCCACCGCCTGCAAAAATGTCAGTTCATTCCCCTCAGGTCTTTAAGCTTTTGTTGAACACAAGCTGGCGCTCAGCACTTAAAGAGTTGACCAGGTGCCGGTCGTTTGAAGAGTATTTGTTGCTATTTTCCCAGTCACGGTGTAACCCATGCTCATTGCAGAAAATGCATACGCACAAACACACACAAATAAAACTAAAATCAGCCGTAACCCCTCACCCAGGGAAGACCGTGGTTTTGTATTCTGGTGTTTGCTTTTCTGGTCTGATATGGCCATGGCTAGATAGTGCAAAGTTAAACAAGGTTTGGTTACCTATCTTGAATAGCAGTAAAGCCTCACACAATCCGTCAAAAGGGCAGAAATGGCAGGAGTAAACACATGAATAACCAAAGTGGCAATTAGTAAAAGTCGATTGTGCAAAAGACAGTTCTTGAACCAAGAGCCCTCAAAACATGGACTAAGCCTCGGGGTACGTTGTTATAAAGCAGCTCGTATAGTGAGGAGGCAGCGACTGTTTATTCTTCACCATGATTGGTTATAGTATTAGGATTTTCTTAAATGATAGGCAATTGGTTACCTCATACCAATTTGGGGAAACAGTTTCAGTTGTGCTTATGATTTCCAGAAGCAGAAGGAAGGAATGACCCCGGTCAAGTTACTCTTGCAAAATAAGCTAAATTAAACTTTATGTGTACAGGTAAACTGTCACCGAACCAAACCGGGGTCTGTTTGTGCACAGCAAAGACAATCTACTGACACTGGGTTGCGGTGAAAGAAAATAAAACGTTTACTGCAGGTGCCAAGCAAGGAGTCTAGGGCAGCTAGTGCTTAAAAGGCCCAAACTCTCCAATGGCTTTCAGGGAAGGTTTTTAAAGACAGGGTGAGGGAGGGGGGCTGTGGGGTGTGTGATCAGCTGGTGGACATTCTTCTGATGGGTTAGTGGTGAGGTCATCAGGAGTCAACATCGTCAGCCTTCTGGTTCCAACCGGTCTGGGGTCTACGTGCTTGTGGGCAGCATGCAGTTAACTCCTTCCACCTGGTCAGGCTTTCAGTATCTGCAGGACATGGCTCAGAATATTAACTGTAGCCCTTGAGGAGGAACTAAAGGTCCTTGACTTTGTTTAATGGCTAAACTATTATTTTGTTTTGCTTGACTGTTTTCCTTTCTGCATTTTCTCACTTCTCTGATTAAATTTGCTCTTTGGAACTTGGGGAAGGCCTAGGAAGCTAACGTTTTTCTACAGCCAAGACGCAGGTGGAGGACATGGCGGGGTTAGGGTGTGTGTGTGTGGATCTTCTTTGGGAAGGCCCCGTAGGGTCCTGCTCGGTTACAAAACTGGTTTTGTCTGCTCAGGCAACTTTCAAGGCTGGTCTTCGTTTGTTTTTTACTTTAACAAACCCATTTTCCTGATGGGGAAATTGAGGAGCAGAGAGATTACATGGCTCGCCCAAGGCTTGCGGCTGCCAATGGACCTCCAGTCAAGATAGCTGAGCTAGCGTGTTTGCACAGATACACGCTCCAGACACGGAGGAGTGCATCATCGTCCCGTTCCAAGACGAGAAAGGTAAATACGGTACCCAGGCCCTTGAGAGAAGGTCCTCGTTGCCGTGTGCCCATAAAGGAGCCGGAGCAGATTGTGCCTTGGAGGGGCGGGAGTCAAAGCCACAGCCCCACGCACAGCAGCAGGGTTCTGGGACTGGCCCTCTGCATTCCGTGCGAGCCCGAAAGGGTCTGTGCTTTTGTGAAACTGAAGCAAACTGCTACCCCAATGGCTCTGAGTAGGGTCCTCTCCCAGAAAGTGGAACGCTGGGCCTGACAGCACGTGGGCCACCT